CGGTTCCAGATCCCTGAGAAACGCCCCCTTCCCTCCCCCACCGGGTTTACAGCCTTCGGCGTGGGCCGGGCCCCCACCCCGAAATGCCGTGGGCGCCCCCTCCCCCAACCTCGGAAAGTCATGACCTTCCGGGGGTGCACCTCGCACCGCCCCCCCCCTCGGCGCAGGTCCCACAGCAGCCTCCCCTACACACACTCTGCAGGGAAGGGCTGGGAAATGAGTGTCAGGGGGCCCCACACCAAGGGGCGGGTCGTGCATGTGCGTGGCGTTGGGAGGTGGTGCCCACAGGGCCGTTCTGTGGCCCAGCCGAGGGGGTCGGTGTTGACGCGGATGGTGCTCTCAGGAGTTGAGAGGTGGGTGTGTGCTCCGGTGCAGCGAGCCGGGGAGTGAGGGCCCGGGGTGAGACCTACTGGTTGTCCGCCCTGCCCTCCCTTGAGGATGCGTCGTAGGGGCTCGAGGTCAAGGAGGGGTCAGGCACTCACCTAGCAGACAGGGGGCATCTGCCCAGGGGAGGGGCAAGACCTCAGCCTCTGGCTGGTCTCAGGCTCCCCGGGGAGAGGGGAGCAGCTGCCAGGGGCAGGAAGAACCCCACTAAGGACCCCAGGGCGGGGGAGGGAGGGCGTTAACTCCCCCTCTCCCAGGGGGAAGGAGCTGTCTTCTCTTCTCTCCGGGGAGTTTGAGGACTCCCTGGCCTTGCTTCCTTGGGTCCTCGACCAGCTCCCCCTCCCCGTTTCTGAAAGCCTTGTCCCTAGAGAGAGACGGAGGGCTTCCGTGTTACCCTCTGATAACAGCTGACAGCTCCCTGGCGCCTGGAAGAGCCTTTGCTACTCTGTTAGCCATGGTAGGGTCTCCCTACTCAACCCGCTATTTTGCCTTCTCACTGTCTGCTGGGACGGAGACCCCTCCCTGACTAGAGGTATTGGAGGTTTGGCTTGGGCTGGGGAGCCCCACCTCTCCTGGGCCTCCCTGTCCTCTGCCCTCCTTCCAGGGGGTTTGTGCTGGGAAATCCCTAGGGAAAGGCCCAGAGGCTGAGCATTGCTGGGTCCCAGGAGATGGAGGGAGTGGTGCCAGATGAGAGTGTTCAGAGACACCCCCTCCTCCCGTGGGCTGGTCCCATTCTCCTGGCATTAATTCATAGTCAAATATCTGTTGAGGGTCTGCTATATACCAGGCACTGTGATGGGCATAGCAGGAGAACAGACCACCAGGAAGAGGGTGAGGAGGCAAAGGGTGCTGGAGGCTGGATGGGGAGAGCCCCGCTTTAGTGAACAAGGGAGGAGCCCTCTGCTCCGTCACCCACGGCTGTCCCACGGGTTTCACACCCTGGGAAGAGACAGAGCATCCCCAAGGACCTTCCCGAAGTTCCCCCTCCAAGGACACGGAGTTGCCAGGAGACCGTCTCATTCCTGATGGGGCCACCGTGGAAGAGGCTCATTCCTCCCACTTTGCAGAGGAGGATGGGCAGGATCCACTCAGCGTGCTCTCCAGGCAGAGCCCAAAGTCCCGGAACGGTGGTGGTAGCCTCACTCCAAGTTCGCCAAGCACCAGCAAAGCAACTCTCCCATCTCTACCCTCTAGTGGGACTTGCCTGGCTTTTCCTGCGGCACCGATGCCCTCAGTCCTTTCCCTTGGCGCCCCCCCCCTCCCCCGGCCCCAGCTTGTAACCCCTCTCCTGCAGGTCTGCCTGCCCCATGGATGTGCCTAGCCTTGGGACCCCGAGGTCGGCCCGTGTTGAGGGCACAGCTAGTGTGGCTGTGGACAGGCCCCATCCCTGTCTCCCTCCCAGAGGCATGAGGTGGGCCCCAGCCATCTGCACACACCGAATTGGCTGTGTTGACATTGGGGGCTGGATGGAGGGGGCCATCTTCTGCCTCTTGAATCAGGAGTGCACCCACCTGACACATGATGTTTGGGATCATGGGCATGGGACAGTGGCTGAGGTGCCAGAGGCCCCTGCCCTTGCTAGTGACAGGGGGCAGGGGGAGGGATGAGACTCCCTTTGTATGTGTGGGTACTGCTTCCTGTATTTCTGCATCTGGTGTGTGTCTGTATACATACGTGAGTGGGCTCTGTGACCCTGTTGGGGACATTGGGGGGGGGGGTGTGAATGGTGCCGGTGCCTCTGTTTGGGACTGGAGTGTGTGTGAGCAAGTCAGGGTCCTGTGGGAGTGTACCCGTTTGTGAATGAGTGGGGGTGGTCTACGAACAAATAGCTCTGCCTCTGAGTTTGCTGGTTTCCGGGGTTGTTTCTGACCATGGCGGGATGCTCGTGTCTTTTTGGGGGTGTGTTTTGTTGCTCTGGATGTGCTTGCGGTGATGTCCTTCTCAAGTCTGTGCAAGGGCTCAGCGTGGGGCCTGCGTGTTGCCGGGCGCTGTGGGGGGCCCTGTGTGCTCAGGGTAATGGTGGTGGTGGACGAGGGACAGCAGCCTTCTCTGCAGAGCCGTCCATCATCCCTGGGGCTGCAGACACGACTCTCATCATAAACCTTCCCGTGCCCTCTGCCTGGCTCTGCTGGCCCCCACGTGTCCACTCTCTCTGCTACCCCTCCCCTTCCCAAGGCCACAGGCGGCTGTGGCAAGAGCCTGTCACTCCAGCCCCGCGCCTCCCCTCAGCACCTGTGGGCATCCCCTGGCACCGATGGGGGTGGCATGTGTCCATAGATTGTTCCAGGCACTGGCTAGGGCACAGACTTCATTGTCCCCTTCCCCTGCCTGCCATGTTACTATTTTTTGCATCTCTGGGAGCCAATGCCAAAAGGAGAGCTGGGGATTGTGGCTCAGATGGGGGTAGATGGGGGTGGCCCTGGAGAGTGAACCTCATTATTCCACCCCCACCCTAAAGGTCTAACTCAGGGCAAGCCTCCATTCCAACAAGGCCCCTCCACACAGCCCCTGACCAACTCCTCTTTGTCTTGAAAGCATTCAGATGGCCCAGGATGCCCTAATGTTGTTTTCCTCTCCCATTGGGGGCCCTCAGTGTCCCTCTTCTCTGCCAGGGGCTCTGAGGCTTGGGGAATCTTGTTTGCTGGTGCCAGGCACCCCAGGGCCAGGCCATCTGCTGCCTCTTGTCTTCCTGCTGAGGCTGGCACCGGCCAGCAGGGTGCCTTCAGCTTTGCCAAGAACCAGCCAGGCCCCCCGGCCACTCCTTCCTGTCCTTAGCAATCTGAAGGGGCCTTCTGGCCTCCGGGGAAGGCAGGGCGACCCCAGGTTATTGTGAATGAGGAGGAATCTGAGCCCCCATCCCTTTTAGAGGCTCAAGGAGCCGCCTCTTTCATCTATCCGGCCACAGGGATTGCCCCTGCTCCCACTGACCCCAACTCCCTCTGTTGCCCGTGGCTCCCACCCATTGCCCAGGGCTGTAAGGTGACAGGCATCTGTCCACCTTCCTCTATAATCCAGGTCTATCGTGTTGACAGGCCTCCCTGCCCTGGCCTTGGTCCCAGGCCTCCCTCCACTACCTGCCCCATCAGCCCTCCTGGGGTCCAGTTCTGACCTCACCGTGCTTCACTCAGAGGCCTTCGCGCATCCAACCTGCTAAATCTACATAATTTGGCTCAGCATTTAAGCCCACTCATCCGGCCCCAGCCCCCTCTTTGTAGACTAATCTGCTGCTTGCCCAGACCCCGCTCCTCAGCCAGCCTGGACAGTGGACTGTTCCCTCAACACACTCTCCTCTTGCCTGGCCCAGGACGCTTGCCCACGCTGTCCCCTCTGCTCAGCCTGCCGTTGTCCAACCTGAGCTACTCATTTCTCAAGACCTAGCTTAAATGCCACCTCCTCCGGGAAGTTTTCCCTGGCCTGCCACAACCAGCTGCCATTTCCTCGATCCTGCAGCTCCAGTTCATCTCTGTCAGGGTCTCCTGGGTTCCCTATACCACGGTCATCGGCGCCTTTCCCCATCTGTACCTCTCTGAGAACAGTTACTGTGACTAGAGTGCGCGGCTTGTAAACACCCGGAGGGGTTCTCCCCTCCCCACTAGCAGGCCCGGAGCCGGCCTGGGTCTCAGTAGAGAATGGGATAGACCCAGGCATAGCTTCCTCCCTGCTCCTGGGAGGGTTGAGGGCCCCTGTCCCAGGGCTGAGTGCTGAGCTCCAAAGGTCTCTAACCCACTCCTGCGCTCCTCTCCCCTCCCAACCCCATCATAACCATCTCTTCTCTTATTTCCATCAGCAGCCAAACTACTGGAGTTTCAAGGTCAGTGTGTGGTGCTTCCGCTTCCATGACAACTGCATGTGCCCTCCCACCCTCCCCCTCCCTGCACACGCTTTGCGCAGGGGTGTGCGACTGCACGGGACCTTCTGGTGCGGGCGGAGGGCTTTGGGGTGCAGGCTGTGGCTGCTGCTTTGAGGGACTCTGGGTTCACCTGCCAGAGGCTGGTGGATCCAGTGCTGGAATTTGGGCCACCCCTGAGGGGGATCTGAGTGGGGATTCCCAGGCCAGGACTGCTGGTTCTGAGGCTGGGCCTGGATCCCATCATCTCGTGGAGGGGCCTGTTCTCTGAACTCAGATCCTGAAACTCCATCTTCCAGGGAGGCCTGTGACTATGATGGGCCCCTCATCCTGTTCTTACTTCCCACGATGGGGAGCTGGTCAGTGCCAGGCAAGAGACTCACAGTCCTACACCCCAAACCTGTTGCTCAGGTGAAGGACTGAGCTCAGGGCTGGGTGCCTTCCTGCCTCCTCTGGAGAGATTGGGCTGTCTAAAGCCGAGGAGCTGTCTGCCCCTCCAAGGGCATCCTGCGGCCCTGGGAGAGCCCCTTTGGGTGCCTCTGCCATCTTTCCTGGCACCCAGGCCCAGAGCTGAATCAAGTTAGACTGATGCTTGTGTCCTAGTCTCCAGCCCCTCATGTCCCAAACATCATGACAGGGGGCGGGAAGTATCCATCCCAGGCTCCCCAGTGTCGTCTTGCTCCAAGCATCTCGTTGGCATACATTCTCCCAGAGAGAAGACGTCCTTGAATTAGAGAATCGTGGAATAGAACCATGGCGTCAGTCATGGCCTTTCTGGAGGGGACAGTAGCGTGTAGTGGTTTAGTCCGAGAGCCAGACCACCTGGTGTTGAATTCCAGTTTGCTACTAACTAGCTAGGTGACCTGAGGCAAGTTACCTAATCCCCTGGGCCTCGGTCTCTCCTCTGTAAAATGGCACAACAACATCTGCATCATAGAGCTGTTGTGCAGAGAGAAGAAATGAGATACTACATGTCACAGGCACAGTGCTTGGCTCAGAGGGAGCCCTACATGGTAGCTTACCTCATTCTCTTATTAGAATCATGGACGCTACTTGATATTCCCAAATCAGAATCACATTGGGAACTTGTAAAAAAAATCTTGAACCCCAGGCCCCAACCCTCAGAGATTCTGATTCAGTGAATGAGGGACCTCAAAAGTGTTTTTAAAAAGTTCCCAAATGAGGCCCTGGCCAGAGAGCTCAGTTGGTTAGAGCGTTGTCTCAATATGCCAAGGTACATACAAGAATCAACCAATGAATGCATAAATAAGTGGATCTCTCTCTCTCTCTCTCTCTCTCTCTCTCTCTCTCTCTTTCTCTCTCTCATCAATAAGCAGCCCAGTTGGTGTGGCTCAGTGGTTGAGCATGGTTGAGCGTCTACCTATGAACCAGGAGGTCAGGGCATATACCCAGAGTGTGGGCTCGATCCTCAGTGCGTGTGTGTGTGTGTGTGTGTGTGGGGGGTACAGGGGGCAGCTGATCAATGATTCTCTCTCATCATTGATGTTTCTATCTCTCTCTCCCTCTCCCTTCTCTCTGAAACCAATAAAAATATATATATATTTAAAAAATTAGTTAGAAAAAAAAAGTTCCCAAATGACTCTGCCCCAGTCTGGAGAGTGTACAGGAACCTCAGATCCTAGTCTGACGGCCTCACTCAAGGTTCCCTCCACCTGATCTCAGACCAGGAGCCATGGGCTCCCCGGAACATCTCCAGTGCCAGGTGCTCACTGCTTCCACCCCCAGCCCCTTTCCTGCCTTTGGGAAGCTCTCTTGAATTACTGCTTGGTTTTCTTGCCATCTCCCTCTTTTCTCTGCCCTGTTCTCACCCTGGGGACGGAGAGAAGTGCAAACAGGCTTTCTCTCTTCTCAAGAGGGTTTTCTACAAGGGCTGCGAGACTAGAAAGGTGCCCCTGGGCCGGGATGGAGACAGGAACTGGTGGGGCAGGGAATGTGGGCATCTCTTTCCCAGCTCCCCTGGGCAGGGTCCTGCCTTCTCAGGAGCCAGCAGTCTCTAGGATCCCCTTCATTCTAGCCCCTGTTCCATCTTCTTACTGGCACCTCACTAGTGCCCCCCCCCCAAGCCACCGTGGCCATCCCTTGTTCTTCATCCCTGCTGGCTGCTCCATCCCTGCTGGCTGCTCGTTTTTTTAATTATACTCATTTCGCCTGAACTCTGTAGCCCCTCATCCACACCAGCCTGGCAAACACTGAACTTGCAGTTGCCTGGCAACCTCATGACCACCAGACCAGACATGGTTCTCCACACTGCCTCAGGGCTGAGGTGAGAGAGAAGGGCACAGGCTGGCATTGGTGGTCAGCCCAGATCAGTCTTGGCACAGGTATCCCCCCCCCGCCAGTTCCTACACTGCCTTCCTCCTCCCCAGACCCATGCCCACTCACTGGGTAAGGCATTGTACTTGAGGCCCCCTGAGGCCTCCAAATTTGTCCTTCCACATCCCCGGAGCCCTTGAGGCCACTTTGGGGACAGCTGGGCACATTGCCCATCAGAGGAAGATGCTCTCTCGTTTCAAGAGTGCTAATCCAATTGGAACATTAAATTGAGTTAATATGAAGATGGAGATTAATTAGGGGTTAATCAGGATTTGGGGAAGAAGAGGGTTGGGGAGGAGAATAAATGATTCCTTTTTAGAGGTACTTTTACTGTGTGTGTGTGTTTTTTTAATTATAAAAATGATTATTCTGATTGTGCAAAATTCACCCAGCAGAAAAGGTATAAAGTAAAAAGCGACTGCTCACTTCGGCAGCACAGGTACTCAAATTGTGAACGGCACGGAGAAGGTTAGCACCACCCTGGCGCGAGGATGACATGCAAACTCGTCCGTCACAGGGAAAGCTGTCTCAACCCCGAGATAACCAGTGTTAATCGTTTTGAGTGATTTTTGTTTAAAATGGGCAATTGATTTTATAGAAAAATAGAATTGGGCAAAATGATTTTTTCCTGAGAATATATGTATATATAGAACATATATGTATATCATGCAATATAACATGGGATGGTGTAGATCTGATTCATTACCTTTCTCCCTTAAATAAATGAGTTTCTGACAACGGCCAGGCTTGAGGGGAGGGGCTGAGGCAGAATGGCAGGAGCTGTGGTTGAGTGACAGCCCTAAAAGCAGGTTCTTCACGTGCGATAGAAATCAGGGTGACTCGTTCCCCACAGAGAGTAATCAGACTGGTTCTGGGGTAGGGAATGGGCACTGGGTGACACCCTTCCCTAGCCCCGGCCAGATCTTACCTTCAGCTGTAGCTTTGGGACAAGAGGCTGCTATGCTGGGTTCCAGGGGAGGCAGTTTGGGGAAGGCTGGCTGGTTGGCTGTGTGGCAGCATGTGCCTTGCAGGGAGGGGCTAAGGCCTAGCACTTATGCCGTGTATGCGCGTGGATCACACAAGGCTTAGCATGTACACTGCATGTAATAGGCAGGTCATCTGTTTGAAACTGGGGTCCGACTGGCTTTGGGGGGGGGTTGGGATGGTTTTCCCAGTAACCCCGTGGACATTGTGCACAGCTCAGTGAGGGCCCATACCCCAGCCCCCCTGAGCTGGGATCCTGGGGTCCCTAGCTCTCTTTGCTTTCTCCCTGGGCCCTGCCTCCTGCCCCAACCCAACCCTCTGAACTCCACAAAGGATAAATTCGCCGCTCACCAACCCGCCGCTTAGCTTAATTAATGTCTGGAACTAATGCCCCAATTTGCTCAACGATTCTGCTGCTCACTCACCTCGGTGACAAATTTGTGTTGTTGTTCTTTGGAAGCTTAAAATAGCAGGCGTGCCCATGGCTCCTGCTCCGACGGCTTCTTGTGTGGCTTCCCAGGGTGCCCGAGTCCTTGGCCCTGTCCTTCCCTGCTGGGTGTCCCAGGGAGGCCCAGGCCCCAGGAGGGGGAACTCTCCTGCAGCCACACAGCCAAGTCTGGGATCCAGGAGACCTTCCTGTG